CTCATCATATGGACCAGATCCTGGTCTCTATGGGATCCTCATCATATGAACCAGATCCTGGTCTCTATGGGATCCTCATCATATGAACCAGATCCTGGTCTCTATGGGATCCTCATCATATGAACCAGATCCTGGTCTCTATGGGATCCTCATCATATGAACCAGATCCTGGTCTCTATGGGATCCTCATCATATGGACCAGATCCTGGTCTCTATGGGATCCTCATCTATGGACCAGAAAACGGGCTCTGGGAGAGTAAACATCTTGTAAAGGACTGCTATCAGGACCAGACCAGCTGGCAGGGATCTTGGGTGACCTATCCACAGACCACTAAGATTGTAATTGAAATGGCTCTCAAAAAAATTAGGAGACTTCACTGTCAAAGCATCTTCAACACTGGGTCTCTGCTGGGCTTCTAACAGAGGTGATCAAAGAGAGCCAGCAACATTCACGTGACTGGATCATGAAGGCTTCAATGTCATCAATGGATACATTACAGCTTCATGTTTGAAGGTTGTGTTTGGAGGTGAGAGAGACCAGGGGTGAAATGAGATTTCCCCTACACAGACCCAGGTGTCCTGTCCTGGAGGCAACAGGGCTGGAGAGGTTAGACACTACCCTCACACACGTGAGGACTGGCATTCAGATCCCCAGAATCCACATAATGTCTAGGTGGCATGGTGACCAGCCTGCAATTGGAAGACAGAGGATCCTCAAACCAAGCTGGGTGGCCAGACTGACCACATCAGCAAGCTCTGGATTTGACTGAGACACCCTGTGTCAGTGAATAAGGTGAAAGACCAACTATAGGAGATTCCTGCTCCAAACTAGGCTCTCTGCACTCACATCCAAGCAAACCACACACACACACACACACACACACACACACACACACACACACACACACACAGGTCCAAGAGTGCACTCGAGCTACTTCTGCTGCTGCTTCAATCAAAGTTGGTTGAATCCACAGATGCAAATCCGTACATTCATGGGAGAGGTTTGTGTGACTCTCTGTACATTTAAACATTTAAAGAGTGCCACACAAACACACACACAATTTTTCAAGCCAGGCACAACAGGATATGCCTGTAATCCCAACCTTGGAAGGCTGAGGTGGGAGGGCCACAGGACTGAGGCCAGCCTGTGCTACACAGCAAGTCCATGACAAGCCCAAGCACCTTAGTGAGAATCTATTCCAGAAAGAAGCTTTAAAAGGAGCTGGAGAGATGGAAAGAGCTCTGTGGTTAAGGGGACTTGCTGCACAAGCCTGAGGACCTGAGTTCGAATCCCCAGTGCCCACAAACAAAACCAGACACAGGGGACACACCTTGAAGCTCAGCCCAGGGGAGAGCAGGAGGCACACCAACAGGGACAGGAATGTGTCTGAGCATTACTGCCTGCCAGCCTTGTTCCAGTTTCAGTGAGAGGCCATCTCGTGGGGAATAAGGCAGAGAGTGACAGAAGGGGACAGTACAGATGTAGAGCATTCTCCTCTGGCCATCATATGTGCATGCAAAGGTATGCACACCCAAACGCATGTGCATACATACCACACATACATATGCCATACTCTCACACACACACACACATACACACTAGCTAATGGTTTTTTAATAAAAAATAATTTAAAGGGCAGTAGTAGAGTGTTGTCTAATGTATACAAGGGAGTGGATTTGTTCCCTGGATTACATGGTTACAGGGGGTGAGGGGTATGCTGTGTAAAATCATTGTGTTCCATAAATGACATCACACTACACAGACTATTCTACAGCTTAAAAAGCTATCTTCAGATACGGACATGTGCAGGGTCCACACTTCTGTGAGTGTTTGGAAATCTTGCCCAATAGAAATCTCTAGAAAGCATTTTCAAACAAAACAAAAGTGATGAAAGTCACAGGCAAACTTTTGTGTGTATTTGGAGAATCCTTCTAAAAGAAGCTTCTAAAAACTATTTCTGAACAAAATGAAGGCAGTCGGTTTCCATGTAAAGTTGGGTTTGTGTGTGTGTACACATTCCTCTGTGTGTGTGTGTGTGTGTGTGCCTGCACGTATATCAGGCAGAGGTCAATGTCAATGCCAGGTGTACTTATCACTCAACTTTACTGTTTGTTTGTTTGCTTGCTTGTTTGAGACAGTGCTTCCCTGTGTAGCCCTGGCTGTCCTGAAACTCGCTCTGTAGACCAGGCTGGCCTTGAATTCACAGAGATGCCTCTGCCTCTCAAGTGCTGGTACTAAAGGCATGTGCCAACACCGCCTGGCTTCAACTTTATTTTTCTGAAGCTGGGTCTCTCACTAAAACTGGAGCTCAATGAGTCAGCTAGCCTTGCTAACCAGCAAGTCCCAGGTATCCTCCTGCCTCAGCCTCCCAAGCACTGGCATTGTAGGCATACACTGAAGCCCCATCTGATTTACCTCTCCTGCCCAGCAAGCAAATTTTGACAGAGGAAAAGGCTCCGTTATCCATGAAGCATCTGCGACTCCCAGGACAAACTGTTCCGGTGTCCTTGCTGTAAAATGCTGATAAAATTCCTGGTCATGGTCATTGGGTCTAGTATCTATTCATCCAAAATTGGCTGAATCCAGAGATGCAAATCTATGGACTAGGGGAGGTGTGTGTGTGTGTGTGTGTGTGTGTGTGTATGGCTCCAGTCTGCTGGTTTAGTCCCAGGACTCTCTGTAAAACAGTTAACTGCTCAAAAACAGTAACACACACACACACACACTCCTACTTCCTAAGCCAGGCACAATTCACATTCCTGCAATCTTAGCTACTTTAGAGGTTGAGGCAGGGGGATCACAAGACTAAGACCAGCCTATGCTACACAAGTTCAAGACCAGCCCAGTCACTTTAGTAAGACCCAATCTCAAATTTTAAACCTTTTAAAGGGAGCTGGAGAGAGGGCTCAGGGATGAAGAAATATTGCTGTACAAGCCCAAGGACCTGAGTCTGAATCCCCAGCACCCATGTTCAGTTGCATTCCAAGATGAGATCACAGCTCACACTATACAGAATGTTCTAGAACTTACAAAGCATGTTTATTGCCATCTTCACATATGGAAGTGTGCAGAGTCTACACTTCTGTGGGTGTTTGGAGATCTCTCCCAATAGAAGCTTCTAGAAAACATTTTCCAACAAAATAAAAGCAATAAAATCACAGACAAATTGGCAATAGGACCTGAGATCTAATTCTTGGCTTCTATAACGGGGCGGGGAAAGGACAGGGGAGGGCAATAGAACACGTTTTAAGAAAGGTGGGAGTCACCCCTGCGTGCTGCCAATGAAGTTGAAGAGTGAGGGCTTCCGTTAAGAGACAGTGAATGTGAATGCAGTTTCCTCGGAGGCCAGAGGAGGGCCTCAGATGCCCTGGAGCTGGAGATGGAGGAGGTTGTGAGCCCCATGCCCTGGGTGCTGGGACCACAACTCTAGTCTTTTGCAAGAGCAGTAAGTAGTGGGTACCTGCCTCCTGCTACTGCTCTTGGAATAAAGATCAAAGCGCATGTCGTGGCGCCAGTACAGGTGTGAAGATTGGAGATACGGTTAAATGGGAACGCTAAGCCCAGTAAGATGAGCGAATAAGGTGGTCAGTAACATTTATTTGGGTGCTTTGCTTTTTCTTGAGAATTCAAAGCCTGCAAGAGTTAGCACTAAGCCACCGGGGGAGGCCAGTGCGCCACCTGGCGGTAGATGGAAGCAGCAGGCGAGTCCAGGCACTGAGGGTTGAGTGACCCGTTGCCTCCTTTATCCTCACACCTGAGCTCTGGGATCCAGGTGGGTACCGCGTCCCGGAGTGAATGGGAAGCTGCACCAAAGGTGGCTTCGGGCCCCACAGACCAGATGAAATGACCTCTCCAGTGTCGCCAACCGCCCAAAAGGATTCACGGCCTTGGTAACTCTGAAAACTATGGAAAACAAAGCTAAGGCCGCTCAGGTGAGCCCGGCAACTTCGTGGAGTCTGAACCCCGAGTCTTGTGAGTTCAAGGAATTACCTCTACGACTCCTGAATGCAAGTCGGTGCCATCTCCATTTAAAACCCTGGGCTGAGGGGCAAAGGACCAAAAAACAAAAAACAAAAAACAAAAAAAAAAAAAAAAAAAAAAAAAAAAAACAGGATGGGAAGAGACGGAGTGGGCGCAACCGGAGACCACCAAAGCCAGGGTGCCGCGTTCCCAGCACCCCTCTAACACAAGCTGGCGCCCCGGCCTCCTTAGGCCCGGGGTACCTGCACATGATCGCAGAACTCGCTCCCACCCCCTGACCCCGACCACAAGTCTTCTATTCTACACTCTTGCGTTCTAGCCATCCCGAGTGCCACAGTGCCTCAGAGGCCACCCCACTGCCCCCCTATCTCGTTTTCAGTCTCCACGCCCCCAGGTCCCGTGCTACAAACCCGATGTCCCTCCTTCCCAATCACTGGGCCACTACACCTCATATTCTCCGTAGTGCATCCCCAAGCCTGGAGCATTCAGCGTGGGTCACGGAGCCTTGAAATGAGCACTAGCTCTAATTCTCACATCCACCACCCCCACCCCGCCCCCCTGTGTCCTGAGTTCCCAAACACCGGACGACCATGCCTCAGAGCCCTCACTGTCCCTGGACCCAGCTCCTGCACCCCCAGCACCCAGACACAGCGCCTTAGAGTCCCCACTGCAGAGCCCCAAGCCCCAACAGGCCACCGCTCCTCAGACCCTCTGTTGTCCCTCTATCCAGCCTCAAGCCTTGGTGCCTCTGTGCTCCCAACCCTCGACCACAGTTTCTCTGTGAGCCTTAGTCTCTCGATCCAGTCCTTGATCCACTATCCCGAACCCCACCCCACCCCACCCCAGCCAATACTCCTCACAGCCCCCAATGTCCCTGAAGACAGCCCCCCGACATACACCAATCCGGCGCCCCTGGCCCAGTCTTGCCTCCCTAGTACCCGGCCACGGCTCTTCCGAGCCTCCGCTGTCGCTGGATCTAGCCATCGCTACCCCAGGCCCGGTGCCCGGCGTTACTCACCGTCGACTCGAGTAGCCGTTGCCAGGAGAGCCGGCGCCCTGCTCCGGGTAACCGTGCTGCTGCAGGGCTGCTGCCGGAAAGGGGTAGAGGAAGCCGGTGGCCAGCGCCGACCCGCACAAGCAGCAGCAAGCCCATGGTAACAGCAAAACGAGCTTCATTTTGCCCGGCTAGCCCGCGAGGACCCGGAGTCCCGGGAGCTGGGGACAATCAGAAGTGCCCCCAGATGGCTGGACCGATCCTGCAGCCCTGGGCTGGAGCGCAGGGAGCCAGCCGGTGATGGTGTGAAGTCAGGGTCTGAGGTGGAAGTCTTATGGAGGGCGCCCACGCCTCTTCAGGGCCGCCTTTTCAAATTCAGCGAGGTGGGCTCTGCGCAGTCAAAGGGGGCGTGGGTCTTTCTTTTTAACCCTCAGAGGTCCAAGCCTGAGGAGGTGTCTAACAAACTGGGCATGCCCCAGGAGACATTTGCTCCTGAACAGCAAATCTTACATCCTGGGTCCTTAATACACATTTTGAACTTTCCATAACCAGGTGAGAGAGATTTCAGTCAGCACCCAGTCTTTACTGGAACTGCATGATCAAAGATCATTATCATCTCCATTTTTCAGAAATGAAACCTGAGGCCCAAGGAAAGTTAAGCTAGGTTGATGGCTCCGTGGGTAAGAATGTGTACTACAGAAACCTGAGGACTTGAGTTCGAGTCCCCAACACCCATGTAAAAAGCCAGGTGTGGCCTCTAACCACATCCAACAGCCCCCAGCCCGGAGGAGTGGGGGGCAGGAAATACCCTGGGGTTTCAGGGTTTCCGTCCTAGCTCCAGGTTCAGTGAGAGGAACCCTGTCTGAAGGAGTAGAGTAAGGCACCCTGTGTTGTCCCCTGACATCCACACACCTGTGCACACACGTACACCTTCAACCAAGCCAGTGCGGTGATGCACTCCTATAATCCCGCCTCCACGGGCTGACTGTGAATTTGGGGCCAGCCTAAGCTGCATAGTGAGCCCCTGCATCCAACAACAACCAGAAAAAAAAAATGGAGTTCCCTTTCTTATTGTAGCACCCCCAGCACAGGCTAATGGACAGCAGCATGGAATTTTCCTGTCTTCTTCATTATCCTAGGAGCCAAGGGAAGGTTCGAAGACAGTAACACTCAAAACCAGGGAGGAGGGGGTCTGTGACCTATTTATTGGACTTAGCCAGTGCCCATGAAACACATTTCCAATTCCTTTGGGAGGAGTGACTGGTCCCCCCTCCCCATAATGCAGGTTCTCCAAATCCTCAGGCCTTGGGGGGGGGGGTTGATGGGTGGAGAGTGTAAGAAAAGACCCTAGATCTAAGTCAGGCATCTCATGAAGGGGCTCTCCTTTCTGTGATGACTCACCTGGCCTCCAAGACTCAAGAGAACTTGGGAAGGGTGGACATTTCTCAAAATAAAACAGAGCTGGGCTGAGCATGGTGGCACATGCCTGTGATCCCAGCTCCTAGGAGGTCCAAGCAGGAGGACTGGCCAGCCCAGGCAGTAGCAACATGTGGTAACAAACAAACAAAACAACCAAGCTGGGATTTGAGGGAACTCAGGGGACAGGTTGGGCAATTTAGGATAGAAGGGGAAGAGAGCTGAGTGTGATATATTTGGGTACCCACACAAGAAGGTACATATGGGTTACGTCTCTATGGGGCAATACTGGACCAGATAGCAAGTCATCTGAGTGGGGCTGCCCCCACATTTTCTTAACAACAATCCTACAGCCAGATGGTGAGGTAGATGGTAATTCCAGCCCCAGGCAATGGGGATGAGACTTTGAGTCCAGCCTGAGCAGTCTCAAAGTGGGGAGGGAGCTGAAAATGTTGCTCCTGTACAGAATCCCTGCATCAAGTTGCTAGGGTGTGATAGAGCTCCCGCCTAGACTCCCCTAGTGATGGGTTGGGGGTATGGCTCAGTGGTAGAGCATCTGCCTAGAGTCCCCCAATAAGGGGCTGTGATTCAGTGATAGACTGCCTATCTAGCATATGCAAGAATGTGGATATCTCTTTCTCTCTCTCTCTCTCATACACACACACAATAATCCTTTTACAAAATCTACTGTAATTCCTTAAGCATGGGCATGTTCTACAGCTTCTCTGTCATAGACATCTTACAGATTGGAGGTTACATTGACAGGATCAAATCATCTCAGAACTTGCTCAACCCTCAGGATGCTACCAGGAGAGCCAGTAAAGGATCCCAGCCTGTGGAAACAGCACAGGCCAGGTTTCCTGTTCCATCTGGTGTCATACACTGTACAGCCCAATAAAAATCAGCTCAGGGCCATGCTAGTTTTGGGCTCAGCATGAGACATGGTGCTCAGTGTCTTCAACTATAAAACATGGGATTGGGGAAGGTAAGATAGCCGGCTCAGGGATAAAGGCGTTTGCTGCCAAGTATGACAACTTGAATTTGATCTTCAGGTCTCACATGGTGGATGGAGAGAGGCAACTCCAGCAAGTTGTCCTTTGTTTCGACTTGTGGACCATAGTATGCACACATACACACACACACACACACACACACACACACACACACACAAAATGCAATTAAAAGTAAGATGTAACGCAATAGAGGATGACACCTACCATCAACCTCTGGCCTTCACACACACACACACACACACACACACACGAACACATCCACAGGAGCACATACATACACCACACACACACAGACGCAAGGACAAGCTTTTTGGGTACTTTCATATAACTCAATAGTGCAGTTCTCCAGCACGAACGTAGTAGGTGACCACGTCATGTTTCCATGTGAACAGTCTCCTGTCTCCAAGACAGCTGTGGATAGATGCATGCAATGATTTGAAGTTGCTCTCCCCTCCCACCTTCAAGACAAAGAGTTTCTCTGTGTAGCCCTAGCTGTCCTGGAACTTGCTCTGTAAACCAGGCTGGCCTGGAACTCAGAGATGTGCCTGCCTCTGCCTCCTGAGTGCTGGGATTAAAGGTGTGCGCCACCACCACCCAGGTCCAAAGTTGTTCCTCTTGAAAGGAGACTTTTTTTTTCTTTTCAATGCAGCACCACCCAGTAGTGGGGGATGGAAGAGTGGAGAAGACATCTGTGGTATCTGCTCTCCCTTAACCAAAGAGAACAGCTGCTGCTGCATCCCATTCCGCAGCACCAGCTGTGTGACTTTAGAGAAGTCACTCAACCTCTCTGAACAGTCTCATCCAAAAGAAAGGAAAAAAAAAAAAAAAAAAACCTCAGTACCTTGTGTGCAAATGTCATAATGAAATCCATGATCTTGTTTGCCAACTAATAGAAAGTAATTTAGATGATAACAACAACACTGGGCTGGGCTGTATAGCTCAGTCACTGATGACTTACCTAGCATGCACATAATCTTGGGTTGTGGTCTCCACACTGCATGAACTAAGCAAAGACACATGCAAGAAAAGAAGACAAGGTGGGTAGGGCACACCTTTAATCCTGGCACCAGACAACGTACTTAGAACCACTTACCTGAAATACTCTAACCACCAGTAAATACTACCGAGTATTATTAATCAATTGAAGGACACCCAGCATCTCAAATCCACATGGGTGGGAACAGAGAATAGACCCAAATGCAGAACACAGGCTTTCTCAGAGGACCAAACTTAATACATCTTTTGTGTGTTTGTGGTGCTGGGAATTGAACACAGGACCTCCTTCGTGCAAGACAAACACTCTACCAGTTGAGCTATATCCCCAGCCCCTGGTGCATCTTTGTTGTTGTTGTTCTATGGAGAATGATTTAAAATAAAATTTTGTTCTGAAGAAAATACAAGCCAGGCACGGTGGTACATATCCATTGTAATCTTAGCATTTGGGAGACAGAGGGTAAACAAAAAGACAGAAAATCCTACTGAGGAGAAGGTGCGATTATTTTGACTTCTTACATTGTTTTTCTTTTCACCTTGTAGCTCCCAGGGGTTAAGTGGAGGTGGTCCGGCTTGATGGCAAGCACCTTTATCTGCTGCGCTACCTCTCAGGTCAGAATTCTATTAAAAAATAAAGCACAGCAGGGTATGGTGGTACAGTCTTGTAATCCCAGCATTTGGAGGTTGAGAGAGGACGATCAGGAATTCAGAGTCATCCTCAGCTACATAGTGAGTTCAAGGCCAGCCTGAGCTATGTAGGACTCTGTCTTGGAAAAAATAAATAAATAAATAAATAAATAAATAAATAAGTTAAAAATTAAGGATAAGCTCTCTGAATGGTAGGCAGAAATTTAGGGACATTCCAGCAGCCTTGGAGTCCAGCACTCCTTAGGGAAGCCAGCAGAAGACAAATGCATTCTCTAAGAATGTTCACAACTGCTGTTGCTACAGCTGCTGTCTCCACCCCCGCAGTGCTGCCCCAGGGGCCTCTGATCAGTTCTCCACACGGGCATTTGTCTGTGTTTCAAAACTGTGTTCCCAGCATTCCTGAAATACATGGGGAAACTTCTGGAGAGGCAGAAGCCATTGTTCATTTTCCAAGCCCAGGAAATCTAACAGCCCAAGTCTGGAGTGGAGAAGGGATCCTGGTGCTGGTTTTGTCCCTGGGAACCCTCCATAGTCGGGATTTCACCATGGATGAAGGGAGAAAGCTCCACTGGTAAAGCGCATGAGGATTTGAGTTAAGCTACCCTACCACCCTCCCAGAAAAATAACTGCATGAGATGGCTCAGTGGGTAAAGGTGCTGGTAGCCAAGCCTGACCTTCTGAGTTCCATCCCCAGAATACATAGCGTGGAAGGAGAGAATTGACTACCCTGGTTGTCCTCTGATCTCCACATGAACACCAGGGTTCATGTACACATACACACTTTTGATAAATACAATGTGATTAAAATAAATAAGATCAGGGCATGGCAGTGCACACTTGCAATCCCAGCATTGGGCAGGAGGATGCAATCCCAGCATTGGGCAGGAGGATCGATGAGATAGCCGGGAAGCCAACCCAGCCCCAGGTCCCAGTGAAAGATTCTCTCTCTCTCTCTCTCTCTCTCTCTCTCTCTCTCTCTCTCTCTCTCTCACACACACACACACACACACACACACACACACTACCACCAGAGGGGGGGGAGGGAGAGGACCCAAATTAGGCAGAGTGTGAGGAATTCCACACAGTCATCTAGCCTTCAACACAGACACACACCCATGTGTGTGTACACCTGTACACACACAGATATGGATACATATCTGGACAAAGGTTTCCCTCTCTGTTAGATCCTCATTCTCTCACAACATGATTCTCTGTGGGCAGATCAGAGCTTTCAGTGTCCCTATCTGACAGATGGGAGTGACTTGTCCAAAATCTACTGCTCCTCCTCTTCCATGATGGAGAGCCAGCTGCTTGTGCAAAGCAGGGTTGGTGCTGGGGATCACGACCAGGGTCCTGAACATGCTG